GTTAACAACACAGGGATTGCGAAGTGCGTTTTAAAATAATCCATCTGCTGTATCTCTTTGTTCAGAAATAATCCGTCTATTGTATCTCTGTGTTCTGAAATATACGTCGTTGTATCTCTGTTTTCTGAAATAGTCTAACTGTATGTATATATTGTATCTCTGTTGTCTGAAAATAATCCGTCTTACTACCATCTGTATTCTGAAATAATCTGTCTGATGTCTCTCTGTATTCTGAAATAATCCGTCTGATGTCTCTCTGTATCCTGAAATAATCCGTCTGCTGACTCTCTGTATCCTGAAATAATCCGTCTGCTGTCTCTCTGTATTCTGAAATAATCTGTCTGCTGACTCTCTGTATCCTGAAATAATCCGTCTGCTGTCTCTCTGTATTCTGAAATAATCTGTTTGCTGTATCTCTGTATTCTGAAATAATCCGTCTGCTGTATCTCTGTATTCTGAAATAATCCGTTTGCTGTATTTCTGTATTCTGAAATAATCTGTCTGCTGTCTCTCTGTATTCTGAAATAATCTGTCTGCTGTCTCTCTGTATTCTGAAATAATCTGTCTGCTGTGTCTCTGTATTCTGAAATAATCTGTCTGCTGTCTCTCTGTATTCTGAAATAATCCGTCTGCTGTTTCTCTGTCTTCTGAAATAATCTGTCTGCTGTCTCTCTGTCTTCTGAAATAATCTGTCTGATGTCTCTCTGTATTCTGAAATAATCTGTCTGCTGTCTCTCTGTATTCTGAAATAATCTGTCTGCTGTCTCTCTGTATTCTGAAATAATCTGTCTGCTGTCTCTCTGTATTCTGAAATAATCTGTCTGCTGTCTCTCTGTATTCTGAAATAATCCGTCTGCTGTATCTCTGTATTCTGAAATAATCTGTCTGCTGTATCTCTGTATTCTGAAATAATCCGTCTGCTGTCTCTCTGTATTCTGAAATAATCTGTCTGCTGTCTCTCTGTATTCTGAAATAATCTGTCTGCTGTCTCTCTGTATTCTGAAATAATCTGTCTGATGTCTCTCTGTCTTCTGAAATAATCTGTCTGCTGTCTCTCTGTATTCTGAAACAATCTGTCTGCTGTCTCTCTGTATTCTGAAATAATCCGTCTGCTGTCTCTCTGTATTCTGAAATAATCTGTCTGATGTCTCTCTGTATTCTGAAATAATCTGTCTGCTGTCTCTCTGTATTCTCAAATAATCAGTCTGACGTCTCTCTGTATCCTGAACTAATCTGTCTATTCTATCTCTGTATTCTGAAATAATCTGGTTGCAGGATCTACGTATTTTGAAATAATCCGTCTGCTGTATCTCAGATTTTGAAATCATCTGTCTGCTGTATCCTGAAACCATACGCCGACAAATCTTTCAACGGCTATGAATCATATATAAATATTCAAACTTGTATTCCATGATATATAAATGCGTCTGGCTGTGTAGTACATCGGCTAATTTTTTATCTTTGCAATTAACATTGTCGAATCAATGACAGCTGTAAATTGTAATTAAATTATTTAGTCATATTTTACCGATTTTTTACTTATATGTTGTTATCTTAAGTCGCCATCTAGTACCTAAGTACGCCAGTCTTTGGAATATAAATAGCGGTTAACTTATATATGTATATAATGAAGGAAGAAAGACAACTCCTATTCATAAAACAAGACGGTCGATACTAGTTCGTCCTAATCGTATCTATTTTACAAAAACGATCGCCAAAACAGTGACGTCAGCACTTCCTGCGTTTACCTTAAAAGGCATGTGACTGAATGAAAACAACCAACATGTCAGCAAGGAAGTCATTGTTCATTGATGTTGTTATTTATATATATATTATTTATATCTATTATGTTCTATTTTTTATAAAAAAAAGATCCAAACCTACCTCATTCAGATTTAACCACCCTGACAGTTTCTGCAGATGGAAAGGAAAACTCTCGAGAGAACCTAGTGTGATTAATGTTGTATATACTCGTACGTTAATGATTTTTACTGTCAGTTTCCACACTGTAACAAACGAAACTTCATTTTTTCTTCGCCTTTGACCCTTTTCAGATTCAGTATTGTATTTCTCATTGTCATTGATATCCACGCTTCATACCCCTTTGATACACATTTTATGGCAATGTAAGCAACATAGTAGGCGAGACATATTGTTTAGTTGTTTGGAACATTTGGCATCACTCTTAATATCAGTTGGAAGCGCTTAACATGTTTCAAGAAACATTCGTTGAGTGCATTCTGATATCTAGATGAATACAACATCTCCTGATCACTTTTTGGGAGGAAGTTGCAAAGCTGAGACATCGAAAAAATAGCCAATAATTTTCATCTGCAGTGACTTTCTATGTTTTTTTCACATTTGATACCCTTTACCAAGCCAGATAGGCTGTTGATTGTGCGTCGACTACAACACTGTTCAGAAACATCATTTCCAATATGATGAACTTGACGTATGATATCCATGCTACATCTTTGTGCTTCTTTATAAGGTCCATGATTTAGTATTTGGATTATGATTATGTATACATGTTGATATTTTGTTATTGTTTTTCTGATAGTTTGGAACAAATGTTTACAATTAGTTAAGCATATGACATTGTTTATGTCATTACAAATGAATAAAGTCATTAACCTCACCTGTACTTTAATACTACAATGTTTGTAGTTTGAAATTTAAAACATTACCTTGTTGTTAAAGGACCAATTTCACGGTACATGTAAGTTTGCCCACATCCAAATTTGTGTGTTATTTGTAGTACCACAGTAAACTCATAAGAATGTATGTTCAAAAAATCCAAAAGTCATCTATGGCCTGTACTATGACCTATTTTATGATCTTTGTCATGGGTGTGAGTCAGGGTGCACAACTTACCCCAAAATCTGTCCAAAAACCTATAATAAATTATTAAATTGGTTCAAATCATATTCATTAAAGTCTGCTGCACATTTTGAACTCAAATACAAAGCTAAATATTACAAATATAAAAAGTTATGGAAGTTTAACCGGGAAAATCATATGTATATATATATATATTTGGTTTTTTTTTAATTTCAACAGCTTCAAGTTTATGGAAAACTGTTTCACAACTTACAGTTGCTCTTCACCTAATCTATTTACATATTTTTGGCAAATCTATTCACTGAAAATATTGAAAGTTTCATCGAATTCTGGTACTCGTAAAATTGATCCAGGGACATATTTTCTTGTGATGACAGAATCAAGAAACTACCCTGGCATTTTACCCAGAGTGTTATTGTTTTATCCAAATTTATGAGTATTTCATTCATTATTTCTATGTGCCTTTAAGTGAAACTGATATTAAACCACATTAAGTCTCATTGGATTATAAACAGAAAAAGCTGATATGGCCTGTACTTGTTCTTGTGTTTTTTTGTTGTTTTTTTGGGGTTTTTTTTTTTTTTTTTTTTTGTTTTTGTTTTTTTTTTTTTTTTTTTGCAAATGTGAAATGTATATCAAAGTGACATAATTTGCATCATTAATGAATCAATAGGCTAGCTATAGGCCTTGGACTGGTGAACTTTGCCCATAGTCACCAGGTAATTATTTCATTGAATTGTGTACCTGGTTGCTTTTGAGCAAAATTAGTTACAGGAGGTACCTTAGAAAAAGACCACGACCTGACTCAAAGGACGACACTCAGTGTAATAACGATTCTAGTGTTATTTACAATCCATGTGAGGTGGTGAGGATAATCCAAATGACAATGAAACGAACCCTACGCATCTATCTTTTCTTCACATAGAAGATCTGTGTTCTTTGTGTTTAGAATATAACGACAGGCGTATAAACATTATTATGTCTGCCCGTCATTCTCTTATCCATAAATATTCACTGGTGCCCTGCTGATGCTCGTGTATATTCTGAACATCTCATAGGAAACATTCTTCATCCTGACACCAAGATCAGTGTAAACTATTATGTTCCTCTGCAAAGTAAACTGAGCGGATTCATTTCCTCAGTTTTAATCAATTATAGTTGTTTGAAATTGTACATGAAGTACATCAAAATTATCAGATTCAGACTGTCATGCATGGAATGGCTGAACCTTGGGTCAATTAAAGGAAATGTATGGCATTTGTGAAACTGACCTTGTTTCAGTTTCAAGTGACACCGCAAGTACTTAAGACCTGTTTCTGTATTTTTGAGCGAAACTTTAAACTAATCTTTCATGGAATTAAATGCTTACTAACTTCTCCAAAGCCACACTGTCAAGACATTTTCACAACATTGTTCAGTGATATATTGAATACTTAAGGAGTCCCCAGATACCTTGGTACAGCCCATATATCACGAAGAAACTGTTACACACAATACTGTATTCACCAAAACATTCTATGGTGATCAGGTCACTCTTATCTTAGATGGTACCTATATCTACCTCAACAAAAGCAAAAACCGCCAATTTCAAAGGGTATCATATGGAGGGCAGAAAAACGCGACTTTGACAAGTTCATGTCCACTGTGATGCCTGATGGGTATGTTTTAGTCACAATTGGTCCTTATCACGTCAGTGTAAATGATACATCCATATCTCAACCCATCTTGGAGAAATTTGTCGTCCTGAAATCTTGGCTGCAAGTAAACGACAATATGATTGTGGATCGTGGTTTCATGGACATCTTATGTCTTCTTGCTGAGCTTGAATATGAAGCTAGAATGCCGTCATTTTTACCAGCTGGAAAATCGTAACTGAACTCTCAAATATCTTATAGCGATCGCACCAAAACACAATGGGTTGTAGAGTTCTACATTGACGTCTAAAGAAAAGGGTACTTTTCAAGGATCAACTTCTTTTAGATTATTGGCAAAGTTGGTTCGCATTGTAACTGCCTTCAGTGAACCCATATATGTTTCAGATCCACTTCGATTGGAACGAGATACTAAAATAGCTCAGCGAATGTTTTCGCTCCTACAAAAAGACTTTTTGCAAAGTGAGTTGGTGAAGTCCACAACATCACATGCCGAGCTAAACGTGAATGGCATCTGATACCTCATTCCCTCAAGTGAAGTTGGAATGTCTTGATACCATCGCATACGGAACATTCCAAATCAAACAGTCACCTGGATACCTTGTGGAACATCAGACAGATAACAATGATTATGAGATTTGGGTCAACCAGCATGATGATGATCTCATTCCCGTCACAAGTCTCAAACGAAGTAGAATGTTTGGATTCAATTTGAGGAGAAAGAATGAACGCGATCGTTTGAAGGCATACTGTTGTGTATGTCCTTGCATGTGTTCCCACGTTGCATCAATAATACATAACTTGGAGTATTATGTGCAATTTGGAACTTCCAAAACCAATGCAACAACACAGTAACAAAATTCTAACCAGCCAATTGAAGACATAGAAAATAAGTACCAGAAATTTATCTAAATTGACAAAAGTTATTCATATTTGTTAATTATTATTATTGTATGCCTGAGTTATGGCAACAATAATTATCAGAAATATTTTGGATTTTAAACTTATGTTTTTGATAAAGACGGTGCCTTGACACATGTATGTAATAATCAAGCCCTTTTAAAAAATCTGTCCCTGGAACGATTATACCGCTCCCGTAATTCGATGAAAATTTCGGTACTTTAAGTATATATTTTGCCAAAATGTGTAAATATTTTCGGTGAACAGCAACTGTAAGTTTGCCAAACAGTTTTCCAAAACTTGAATTTGCTGAAACTTCATGGAAAATTGTGACTTTTTCCCCAATTAAACTTCAATAGCTTTCAATAGTTGTAATGCTTAGCTTTATATTTGAATTCAAAACATACAGTAGACTTTAATGAAGAGGATTTGACCGAACTTAATGATTTATTAAAGGTTTTTGAACAAGTTTTGGGATAAGATGTACACCCTGGCTCGCACCCAGGGCAAGGATTAAAGAATATAGTACAGACCATTTGTGACTTTTAGAATTTTTGAACGTACATTTCTCAAGAGATTACTGGCTCCACTTGTATAAAACATATCAACTTGAGATTTCCTCAAGTCGAGATTTTCCTCAGCTGATATCTCCTCAAAAACGGCTGGTATAATTTCAGCTGGTATGATATCAGCTGAGGGAAATCTTGACTTGAGGAAATCTCAAGTTGAGATGTTTTATACAAGTGGGGCCTGGTATACTACAAATAACACACAGCAAAGATTAGATTTGGATGTGGGCAAAATTACATGTATCGTGAAACAACAGGTCCTTTAAATTGTTACGTTTTGCGGTTCAAGGGAGGAAACTCTTCCGATGTTACAATGAGAAAAGCGTTACTGAGAGCTGCCAAACACGTGTTGTGATAACTGAATCAGTTGAAATAAAACAAATTGTATTCCGTGTGTTGGAGGAGTTTCTGAAAATATACAAATTTCACCAACCGTATAATCGTACATATCAATTCTTGTACAGTTGTTAATTAGATAAGTTTAGAACTACTTTACACCTACAAGTTGAGAGTTCAGGTCGCTTTACTAGCCTCGGCTATAAATGGATTTTCTCTATAGTCGAAGTGTCGTTAGTTAGAGCTCCGCCAAGGTAGGATGTTCTTCTTCACCCCTCGTATTGAAGATTTGGTGCTTTCTACCACTCCGTGGGTAGAAGCTATAGGAGACTGCAATGCTTCTACATGAAAATATTGAACTTGGGTTTTTGTTGTCTTTGGGGTCGAAGACTTTGCGAAGGAGGGAGAGAGGTAGAAATTGAGAGCAAGCGGGAATTTCCCTGCAGTATAGCAGTAGAATGTTTAGCTAGAGACCAAAGGGTCGCTGGTTCAAATCTCGCCGGATGCAGAGCGCTTTTAGATTTCCTACCTATTAACCATCACAACATACATGTGACGTCATTAAGTGCTGGTACTCTATTCAGTTTAAGATAGAAAAGATACATGTGGTTATTCAAAACGTTATTTGAAACCGTCTAAAAAGTACACAAAGCTAGACATGTGAATTAAGTGTGAACTTATGGGACAGACAGATATAAGCGTACAAACAACCGCTCCATCTAGATTCACACATTTATCATCAGATGTTCGCATTTCGCGTTTACAAGAATGAGATTACAATATATCGCTTAACATAAAATAGTAATTATATACAAGTTTTAATTACATACTTAAACTGTTCACGTCTGACATGAACAAAAATTCACGGAGTGTCGAGAGATACAAGATGACGGGGACTTGTGAAGTTTCACGGTCATCGTCATGCTTGACTGAGTGATACTTGTTGGGTAAGAGGTAAATGGGTGTAGATGTGTTCTAGTGTGCTTGAGCGACCCTGGTCAATACTAACGGAGGCAATGAAATAATGACATCTGTTACAAAATGGTGCCCATGTATGGACTCCGGAATAACACTTAACATTACTTTCACAAGTATTGCTGTAACCCATGGAAACTCAAGGACGGGTTATTTCCTATAGGGGGCGTATGTAACCCTGATAAATACTAGCCGCAATATTCCGATCTGCTAAAGAACATTTCTCCTCAGCTCGATCGGTTTAGCGTCAGAACAGTAAGCCACGGATCCTGGGTTCGAATCCAAGCGGAGGCACTGAAATAAATAAAGACCTCTGTTAAACTTGGTTGTTTTGTACGTGATATAACTTGGCTTGTTCAAGATTTCCATGGCGTTTGTCGTCAGGGTGATTTTATTCTTCTTACACTTACAGGGTCTCCGTCATTTTCTTTGTTCGTGTTTTGTCCACAATTTGTGGATCTTAAGTGTGAATGATAATTTTGTTGACATGTCATATTCTCTTGTTTCATATTTTGAGGAGACTAGTTTCAGTAAATCGATATAGCATATTAAAACCATTTATACATTTCATTGTCTCCTCGGATAAAAAGAGATAATGTATTGCCACTGTCCGTCGATCCGTCTTTCCCGACATTCCAGCTGTCCGCACCACAGTTTTCGGACCATAACTTGACTTCCCCAAGACTCAACCAACTCAAGCTTTACACATTACTTAATCATGAGGAATTCTTGTCTGATATTCCTTTCCGGGTTAAAAGGTCAAATGCCAAGGTCGTTGTTACTTTACCGAACAACGCAATCTCCTTTGAATCGAATTAACTCAAACTTCACAGTACAACCCTGTCGACACGACTTGCTTTTGGGTTGCTGATGATGTGGAGGGTCAAAAGTTGATAGAAATAGAAAAGTCACTTCCCTTGACTTCACTTGGGCCGATTTAACAAACTTTTTTCTTAAACGACTATGTCTGTCATTTCTGGATTGCTTTTCAAGTTAAAAAATATTTTAGGTCAAGGTCAATGTTACTAAAGAAAGAAAATTCATTTCAGCACAATAACTCGAGATTCGCTCGATTGTTTTAGTTCCCTTGGACTGACCATCCGTTAGATATCAGTAGTACACATTTTACAAAATTCATGGAAAGTTTAAGATTCGCCTGACATATCAAATTTCTGATAATTACAATTATCTTCGATGGTTAACGTGTCGCGGGACAAACCCTATTAGCCGTCATTGATATGCTATGTGTATACATTAACATTAAACTCACTCATGTATCTTGATACATTGTTTTAATTAGAAAATTGAAATCTGTTATACTGGGGTCATCAAAGGGTTCAGTGTGACTTAGGATACGGGCATTACCACAGACCACCTCAAAGTGACAATAGCCCACTTGTTGTACAGTTAAGGATGCGGGCCTTAACCCCAGAATAATGCTTACCAAATGTCCTTATTTAAGACAACTTGATATGAAAATAGTAGATATATCTTGCAATCCCAAGCTCATTCACTTGAACAATTGATAATGCTTTGACCCAGTATATAAGTGATCTTATATTGTGCACCTGAGTGCACCTAAGAAACTCATTAAATCCTTTTGCCTTATAACTAGGCTAAGGTTACTTATTTCAACAAAGTTGACAGACATTCGCCCGGGTATTCTTCAAGCTAAATATCCATGACCCTGTTGCTTTTAAATTACCTTTTTTAAAATTACAGTTGTTAGAGATTGTAAACACATGTATTGACCATACAAGGTAATTAAAGTAGACACGAGTAGGGACTTACATTCTCTTATCCTCACTAGGGCCTCCCTGCGAGATATTTCAATTACAATACCTGCCAAGCATATTATAATTATCATAAGACACCTATATATGTACATGAAGTCTAGATACGGCAAAGTGCTCGCCTTACGTGCCGATGCATATTTCTCTTGCCTGATGTAAAATAACACATTCGCACAATTAAAAGTAAACGCTTATATACCATTATATCTAAACAGGTATTCTAAGATGAAATGATAAAACGACAAAAAATCTAAATCTTGCAATTCAATATGGATATAGAGATAAAGTAATCCGCAGAATTTTTTTTTGTTTGTTCTGTAGAACATCTTTAAGTTAACTAGCCCGGAACTGCTTAAATCTCAAACAGAAAAGAATAGTAAGCTTACAGAGAAATGTTCCTTAACTGTTCATTGTTTTAAAAGTTTGATGAAGCCATAAAAATCTTTTGTATTAAGTAATACTGCTTAATTAGACCATTGCAAGATTAGAAACAATCGTTGGCGGTTTCGGGCTGTTTGTTTCAGTAACTTCTGTTTCAGAATATGAGGCTAACCGAAACTTTGATTTAACTTGAGGAAAAATGGAATATAACCGCACTTAGCGTCAAAGGCACTGAATAATATTTACATACAAAATATTTAGGACATATATGTCTGTTCCTTAGTTCTTTGTGTATGGTATTACATTGATGGTTAATAGTCATTTAAACAATAGTAATGATACGGGACATAGGGGTAGAGGCTTGTCCCTTTAATAGTGCAAAACACAGGCATAGGCAGTTCTTACAACAGTTTAAAAGGGCCGACCAATTCTTCATGTTTTCACGCTAAGGTGTTTTTAAAGGACCAGGTATAGTTGATGCTCGGAAAAGAAACTATCAACCATGAACGAAATGCAATGTTTGTTTAAATCGCCTGTTCGGACACAGTAGACGTGTTTTGTTAGAGCAGTTGTCCATACAACATGTACACCGGGATATGTAGCATGTTAGGGAGAAAAATCTGTGTCCAGACTCGTGTAGACCTTGCATTGGAATTCTTCATTGTGTGTCAAGTCCGTTTATCCGTTTTTCTCATCTAAATTTCTCTATCCATAGTGCAGTATTGTGTATGATGATGTGAAAGAAGAAATGGAGTATATCTGTATATTTCATCTGATAAATCTGTCCTAGTTTTTTTTTTTT